GTGTGTGTGTGTGTGTGTGTGTGTGTGTGTGTGTGTGAGTGAGTGTGTGTGTGTGTGTGTGAGTGTCTGAGGAGGGCACATTTAAATTCCAGACCCCTAAAAACACGCCTGGCTTTCACCTGCTGTCACCTTCCCATTCCCTGACAACAGCAGGCGTGCAATTAGACGCTCATGGAAGACGTCCCAATTTACAGCTTTAACATGTCACTGGATTCACTGCACCTCTTTCATGACTGATTACAAATAGTTAAGGCCCTGAGAGCTGAGCTCGACAGATTTTTGTTTGAAACATTCACTTTTCTGAATAGGATGTGTTGGTTTTTATTAGCTTGTTAAGGCCATAGATGAACACTAAACGCTGAATGTGTGAATATGACTTGTTTCATCACACCACTGCTCTGATGCACTAAACACAAATCATTTATTTACATTTGGCATGAAAAAAAAAAGAAAATAATTAATTATATTACATTCTGTGAGGATTATGGACTGGTTTTGTTGTGTCTTCACGCCCCATGTTTTCCGTGTCCCAGTTAATTGACTGATTCCATGCACCTGTGTTCCCCTGATTGCCCTGTGTTTAAAAGTCCCAGTCTGTTCAGTTTGTTTTTGTCGGGTGTTGAATGTTCTTCTTGTGTTCCGTGTCTCCTGTTGGATTATTAAAGACTCTCGTTTTTGTGAAATCTCCACGTCTCCTCATTTCCTCGTTCCCGTGCGCCAGCAGATTGTAACAGAAGACCCGACCAAATACAGTTACCTCTGTTTGTTCCCTCCGTTTTTGTTTCCGTTTTTCCTCAGGGTTTTTTGTTTCCGTCGTTTCTATGGATCCCCTCTCCCGTCCGGAATACCTCCTCCTCCTGCTGGAGCAGGGGGAGAGATCGCTCGAGGGCCATACCAGACTGTTCCTGGTCATCGCTGTTCTAACCAGCTACCCGGACGACGCGCTCTGTGCGTTCTACGAAGATGTTCCGAAGATGGTCCTCGAGCGAATTTCGCCACCTTTGTGGAGTGGACACTTGCGAGAAATGGATCTCCGTTCCCCGCCTGTTCCCAGGAGAATCTCGCCAGTTCCACTCCCGACCCAGTGCCCAGCCCACCATTTGCCCGATGTGCGGAGCGCATGCCCGAGCCCACCGCTGACGGAGAGCCGGAGCCCGCCGCAACCGACAAGCCATAGCCACACAGAGCGACAGTGATGAGGATCGCCGCGGAGCCGGAGCTAAAAATGACGTCAGTCAAGGTGTGTGAGCCGGCAACAACGCCCGTCACGAGGCAGAAAGCCACGGACTGTGTGAGCACGGAGAGGAGCTCCGCCCCCTGCACCGCGGCTGAGGGTGAGCTGTGTATGGCGTGCCGACTGTGCCACACCGAAGAGGAGAGGGCCTGAAGTTCTGGCCTGAAAGCTCGGATGCTCACAAATGCCCACCCTCACACCCACTCCTGCCTCCTCCTCCGCTGTCATCTGGCAGCCCCTCTGCTCGCCCTCAGCCCACCATCTATGCGGTGCGAGCTCCACGGGACTGCCATCCTCTAGCGTCGCCGTGGCTGGAGTTTCCCTTGACTCTGCCTCCAGCCTCTAAACCCCGGACTCCGCCTCGGCCCGTAAACCCATCAGCTCCACCATGGCTCCTAGCTCCCTCCTCTCCGCCGTGGCCTGGCAGACCACTAGCTCCGCCGGGCTCCCGTGTCCCTCCGGCTCCGCCTTGGTCTGGCGTCGACCATCCTGCGCCTCGGGACTCCACTCCTCTGGCCTGGCCTCGTCCCTTCGTCCCTCCGGCTCCGTCAGGCTCCTTCATCCCCTCGGCTCCTCCTCAGTCCTCTGTCGCAGCCTCCCGGATCCACGCCTTCGCGTCGGTCGCCGGCGCCATCTGCTCCGTCTAGGACCTCCGGATCCTCCCCGTCGCCCTGCCTCATCGGCTCTCCACCTTGGGCTCCTCCGCCACCTGCTCCGCCGCCGTTGGTCGGCCCCCTGGAGTCGGTGGCCATTCCTCCTCCATGGCTCCTCCCTCTGTCGGCTCCACCTTAGGCCGTTGTTATGGCTGTGGCCTGGGTCCTGCTGTGCACTTCCTGCTCCGGGCCCCTCCTGTTTCCTCCTGGCTCCTCCCTCCATCGTCACCTCCCTGGTCTCCGTCTGCCAGCCCCCTCCCGGGTGTCCGTCCTCCTCCTGAGCCGTCTGCCAAGTTCCCACCCGTGTCCCCCCCTCTGTTGTTCTATGGCGCGAGGACGCGCCTTCCAGGAGGGGGGCGATATGTCAGGATTATGGACAGGTTTTGTTGTGTTTTCCCTCCCCATGTGTTCCGTGTCCCAGTTAATTGACTGATTCCATGCATCTGTGTTCCCCTGATTGCACTGTGTTTAAAAGTCCCAGTCTGTTCAGTGTGTTTTTGTCGGGTCTTGAATGTCTTCCTTGTGTTCCGTGTCTCCTGTTGGATTATTAAAGACTCTTGTTTTTGTGAAATCTCCACGTCTCCTCGTTTCCTCGTTCCCGTGTGCCAGCGGATAGTGACACATTCAATGTTAAAAACATAATTATATAAGCACTCTAAATTCTCTGATCGGCTGGATCACATTTGCAAAATGTCAGTAAAAAAACACACCGCACAACTTTACAGTTAGAATAATGAAAAAAAAAAGAAATAAATACAATATATTTTATATGCAGAAAATTAATACTACTATATTAATAAATACTAAAAATAAATATTAATAAAACACTAACAAAAATAAATAACCTATTCTATCCTAAAAATCTATTGTTTTCTAAATCATCCCTCCAGTGTTATGCATTAAATCAGCAGTTGAGTACTGAAACATGACTGAATCTGCTCATACATTCACGTGTGAGTTTGAGGTATAATCATAATCAGGTGACAGTATACGTGGTCCGCTGCCGTGTTCAGAGTATTTCTGTGTCCATATGAGCGTTCAGTCTGTACTGCGTGACATTTGGTGAGATGAAGGGTTTCTCCTGTCGACTGTAATCTCTCTGCAGACAAAGCCTGCCTTCACAGATCCCTCTCCTCCTCTTCCTCAGACCGCTGCGAACACTGCAGCCACTGTGTGCTAGCGACAGCACAAAGACCACATCAGAGCACAATCTGAGGAATCCAGGCAGCAGTGACAGATGAAACCCCGCTGAACTCTGGGAAATGCAGTTGAGGGCTGTTTGATGGAGCAGAATTCATCAGATCCATCCTTAGCTGCTTCACAGCTAACTCACATGCAGTGTTGGTGAGTAACTTACATGTAATGGAATTACATAATTTAATTACTAAATGAAAATCAGTTACAGTTACTAAGAAAAATTGTGTAATTAAATTACATGAAAATGTGAAATGTGACAAAGGGGGTTACATGTGAATATTTTCACACACATATAGATTTGATTGACTACTTTCCCAAATTGTACTGACTGCTTTAAAATATGAGACACCAATGTCTCAGGAGTTTAGGACACATGCTTATTCCATAACTGTTTTATTTCCTATTTGGGTTTATGTATATTCTTTTTTTTTTTTCAAGGCATTGTTAGATGCCAGTGTTTCCTGTCATAGCTGTGCAAAGGTTTGATTTAAAATCTATTGAACTATCTTCTGTTTTTAAATCAGTATTTAACCTGAAAACAATCTCAAAGTAGTGCTGAAGTCTGATTTTGTGGTGACTGTGCTTTTCAATGAAATTATTATAATCTTAATTCAAGTGATGAAGGATTTTGAAAGTCTGACGGTAATCAGTGTTGTTTAGAAAAGTTAGAAAAGTAATAAAAAAGTTATCAAATGTAATCAGTTACATTACTATAATAAAGTAATTGAAATAGTTACACTACTTATTACATTTTAAATAGGGTAACTTGTAATCTGTAACCTATTACATTTCCAAAGTAACCTTCGCAACACTGCTCACATGTTAGCATAACAGTCCATTCACATCAAGTATGATAACTATAACAATATTTATAACTATAGTGCTTTAAAAATCATTCTGATGACATGAGGATATGAGTCCACAGCACAATGATAACAACAGAGGAACGATATGGTTGGAAACACTTTCAGAGCGATATTTCTTTCCAGCAGATGAATGATCAAAACACTGACAGCCAATCAAAATTCATCCAACTTTAAAGAGCTCGAGCATTTAAAGCGACAAATGACAAAACTGCAGAGCGACGCATAATGATATCGTCCGACCTAAAAATGCATTCTATAATGATTTTGTTTATGTGCACGGGCTGATACGACAGTCGTCTCATGTTAATACTGACACCTAGTGGTGTGGATGCAGAATCACACAAGCTTTCAGTTATACCGTCATGCAGATGCACACGATCCAGTGTAGACTGATTTATCCTGTGAGTTGTATGTTACTGAGTGAGTAATATGAACTGGTCATGTTGGTTGTTGTGAGGTGAGCTGCTTCTTCACCGTGAAATAAGCAGCTTTTATTGAGCTACTGATGTGACTGGATCTCATGTGGGGGATTTAAAAATGTTCTTGACTGTTCAGAAAACGTGTACGTGCATGATATAAAGCTTATTTTATCAAAAGGGCTATTCATTACGTGTACAGCTGTTTAAATGAGGGAAAATTACTGTTTTCATCTTTAATGCTGATAATCAAATGTCTGAGTAGCGAGTGTTCAAGAGGCCTGAACTGAGAAACAAGCAATGGTATTTTAGTGCTGCAGAAGAGCTTTAACTGAACATGAAAACTGTTGATACTCTGCTGGTTTATCTGCCGGTTGAACTCACTGACCTGTTTGTGTGTGTGTCCCCTTGTGGGGCTTTTTTTTTTTTTTTGGCCCCCATAAGGAAAACAGTGTATAAATCATACAGAATGAAGTTTTTTTTTTAGAATTTTAAAATGACCTGTAGTTTTGTGTGAGGGGTAGGGTTAGGGTAATAGGATAGAAAATACAGACTGTACAGTAGAAAAACCATTACACCTATAGAATGAACCCATAATGATAGGAATACCAGTGTGTGTGTGTGTGTGTGTGTGTGTGTGTGTACCTACTTAACCATATTTTGGGAACACATTTGTACCCAAAAGTGAGCTAAACCTGACAAAATTTCCAAATACCTCCCTTTGGGGACATCCTCATTTGTAAAACTGGTATAAAAATAAAGTAAGCAAAGTTTTTTTTAAATTGTAAAAATGCACAAAGTTTCCTGTGAGGGGTAGGTTTAGGTGTAGGGTTGGTGTAGGGTGTGTAAAGCAAGCTGCTGCTGCAGGGGCCGAGGAGAGAAAGAGCGGCCGGAGGGGTGTTAGCGGGTCAGACCGGACCCAAACACTGGGCTTTCTTCTCCTGTCCACTCGTCAGCCCTTTATACCAGCAGATCTGGGTCAGAGGTCACATTCCTTCGGCATCACATCATTCAGACACACCCCTGTCCTGCGACACCACAGCACTGATCAGTGTGTTTGAACGTGTGAGTTAAAAGTGGAGCTGAATGAAATGTGTTTGGATGAGCAAAACTCTACTCCATAAAGACAGACTGCTACTGAGGTGCTCTGCGGCGTTTTAGTGTGTTGCTATGCAGTTGCTAGGGTAAATGGGAGCAATAATATTCTTGCCTTAGAAAACACTGCTACGTGTAACAGTTGGATTCCGGGATATAAAAACTCCACTGAGGAATTGATCTTTAAAGTTAGATTCAAGATTCAAAATTTCTTTATTGTCACTATGCAAGTATAGTGAAATTTGAGCAATCCTAACAGTGCAGTCACATGTAACTTAAACATCTGTAATACAAAAAAAAGTAATAATAATAATAAAGTATGTTATTACTACACAATACAAGACAAACAATACACAAGCCAATGCAAACAAGGCGATAGTGCAAAGTTAAGCCTTATCTGCAATACAGTCAGCGATAAATGGTATGCTGTTTAACAATACAATACAAAGACAGTACAAACAAGGCGATAGTGCAAATTTAAGCCTTATTAAATATCATATTGCACACATTCACCTATTATGCCCCTTTTTACAAGATGTAATATTGGTCTTGGGCGCGAACCAATAAAGTGCGGCGATGCTCAATTAAAATGCTTCGATAATGTACACACACAAATACAGTTAAAACACTATAACGACATGACATTCACAAAGCAGTCTGGAATTAAATGATTTGTGGAGACATAAACGTATTTAGGTAGATTTTGATGCGCATTGCCTTGAAAAACTGTGGGTGTCCTTCACACCCCTCCATTACTCGCTGCCAAGCAGAGGGGAAAGTCTTGAGATGTGCATCGAGTTTTTTGTAAGGAATGTCGTGTGGAACAAGACGTGAAGCTTGAATTGGCTGCTTCTATTCTGCGTTGGGAGCTGAGCCATTTGGCTTTGGGAAAACCAGTTGCAAAATCTGAAAAAAAATGGAGAAGTTCCTATTGCATTACAACTAAAGAGAGAAGAAAATGACAGATTTTCCCTTCAGTGACCCGTCTGTTTGTTTAGAAACAGGGAAGTGTGCAGGATGTTCCTCTGATGATCGATCTCGTGTTTATATGAAACGGCTGATCTGGTGCTTTTTGTTATGCATGACAGAGTCTGACTCAAATGACACAGTTGTTTAGCAAAAGCTTCAGCTCGCAGGCTGTTGGAGTGTGTGTGTGTGTGTGTGTGTCTGGGCTGTTAGCTACAGTCTTTCATGTCAGGACAAGTAAACAGGAACCCCGGGGCCGGTCTGTGGTCAGACGTGGAAACCAGGCCACTGTAACCACTAGTGAGGAAGGAAGAGGTAGAGAGATACAAACCATGAGCTTGACTCCTTATTGATCCATTATGAGTTCCCACCAGCTTTTCTGTCTGTCCCACGCTCTAACATTGTCCTTTCTTTCTGTACTGAAGAGGATTCGAACAGACAGTGTGCAAACAACTGGGATGTCGGGTCTTTCAGCGATCCAGAACGAATGAATGAATGTCTGCAGCCAAGCCAGTTCTGTCCGTCATCCAGCAAAGATGAACGCACTTGAATCAGGAGCGTCAAACCCGCTTAAACATCACTGCATTATTGCCTTCTTAATTATGGCTGGATTCATGAAATACAATTCTTATTATATTACTTAAGAAAAAAAGTTAAGAATATTATGAATTCCCCCCCAAAAAACATTTCTTAATAATGTTCTTAGCTTTATCTTCTTACCATTGTTCTTAAAGGAATAATTGACCCAAAAATTAAAGTTTGCTGAAAATGCGTTCATCCTCAGGCCATCCAAGAGGCAGATGACTTTGATTCTTCTGTTCCCCTGAAGAAATAAACTCATCTACAATCAAATCCAATCATTTCTAGATCAAATTTCTAAATAGCGTTGTTCTTAATAGGATTTTCATGATTCCGACGTCTAAAGTCTAGAATCAGCTCTGTGCTGCTGTTCTGTTCTTCTTTCTGTTGGACTGGCATGTAAAGAGACCCAGACTGCTGTTAGTCTGTCTCATTGCAGTCATATTAAAATGTCCCACACTGCCGCAGGACACACGCTGATAATACGTTTAAACTGTTCTTGCATAAACAAGTCCCTTCAGTACATGGTTATCCAGTTGTATTAGCCTGTAACACGTCCCCGTTTCCTCTTTAATGCTTGCTTTGTGAATCTGTGGTTTTGTCAGCGTCTCTCCTGCAGCATCCAACCATCTCACACTTTTGATCTAATCCTTCAAACAGGTTTGCAAAAAGCTCTGAAGTTCAGTTTGATTCATTCGCACAGAATTCTCTCATGCACTGTATCGTTTGCAGTGGTTTCTTGCACTGTAATGGGATGCTTTATAAGACAGAAACAAATATAGCACTGGATGAGGTGATATTTACCTGCAGTCCATTGTATAAATCAGAACTTGCCAATAGCTATGTTTCCATCCACCGATTTTTATGCACATTTTGGAATATCGCATAAAAAAACGTTGGATGAAAACGCCAAGATGTGCATAAATTCTAAAAATGCGCATACAAATCTTATGCGCACATTTGAGTAGGATACACTTTATATACGATAAGAAAAAATGTGCATAAACTATGATGGAAACACATTTACCGAATACATTCCTCCATGCGCATTGAAAAATCATGTGACTTTGTGCTATGAGAACTTGACTAACCAGCGGACTGATCTCGTTCACAGAAATGCCTGAGCAAAGTGTGTCGTCAAAGTATTTCTGTATAATTGTCTTACATGACTGTGTTCCCAAATAACAGGCAAATCCGCCTCCAAAAGCAATGACCGCATTTATTGTGTTTCGTCTGCTCGCTCCGAGCTGCAAGTCAATTTATCATGCATGAAAATTATTATATTCAGTGGCTTCTCCTAGTTTCCGCAGAGATATTTCATGCCAGTTTATCAGGAAGTGACGATTTTGTTCTCTTTGACTCGTTGGATGGAAACGGTGCTTTATTCGCAAATGTTTTATGCGATATCCCAGTTTTGCGCATAAGTTAAATTCTAATCTTTGGATGGAAACATAGCTAATGTCTTCTATTGGAAGAGCAGCTCTTCAATATGCCTTCAGCTTGTGAACATTCATTCAAAACAGTATCAAAAAATCAACCTTAAAATACGGAGACAATATTTCTGATGGTAGCCTGCGCTCCAGTAAAGGCTAGAAAAACTCCTGCACATGATAACACAAACTTCATCATGCAAGACACACCAAGTCAGTGCTCATGACAGAATGTGCTGTAATGGACCTGTGAAGTCTGTGACTCTTTCCCCATT